GAATTTTGGGGGACACAGATATTTGGTATATAACACCTGCTGAAGTTTAAGACCTAAGTGCTGATGCCACTACACTGTCATTCTCCAAAGATACCTGACACACCCTTTGTTCGGCTTCTAAGTTAGGCATTAACCCTCTCTGATTATGTTGTCTTTGTGTTCAGAGGTAGATTTCTACCCATTCCCCTCACCCCAGTTCCACACACTTACCTCTGGGTACTGCCATACATTCAGGAGGAAGAGACAGACTGCTAACAGTCTCAAATAAAGTTATCAAGAGAACCTCATATGCACTTGCCTCACTTTTCTTTATTCCAAAACTTATTAGATCAGGAAAGACCCTCAAAACCTTGTGCATTTCAAGATTCTTATTTCATAGGTGTGGATGCCCAGAGAGATAAACTTTGGTCAAAGGCACTCTTTAAAATAATAATAATAATAATAATAATAATAATAATAATAATAAATAATGTACAACTACTATACTTTTACACCATGCACAAGTTATTTGGTCTTCACAACAGCTGCATGAGCTAAATACTGAAAGTTTAAGTATTTACAAAGTTCTGACAACTTCTAAGTATTAGAGACAGGATTTCAACCCTCTACTAGTCTACTTCCTGCTAAATCCAGTCTTGTTTTAGAGCTTGATCTCTCTATCATAAAGCAAACTAAAGTCCTGTTCTCCAGACTCCCAGATAGATGCTTTTCCCAATATTTATAATTACTAAATAAATCCAAAGGTAAAGGCACAGAATCAGGTAGTGAACCTTCAACAAACACATAGACTCTTGGGTATGGTGATCCCAGAGATATATGACAGCTGTTTGGCATATACCAGTAGCTCCAGGTATGGTACAGTGTTTCAGAAACAGCTCAGAAGCAACCCTGACAGACAGAGGCTCTCCCACTGTGAAGTTCTTTTTTTCTGAGAAGTGAACTTTTTTCCTTACTTCAAGCATTCACCAGCTTCAGAAGCTTACTTACCTCCTGAAGGTTCTCATTAGCTCTGTAATTAAGTAGAGGAAAAGTTCTTAAAGGAGGTAGCCAGAGGTAAAATGACAAGTGCTACCTCTTTTTACCAAGGTGAATGCTACAGGTGCATTCCAGACTATTGTCTACAATATTTTTATTGAAAGGGGAAATTCAATTTGCCAATAGCACCCGGGTTGTGGATTGTTACTTGCAAGATACTTGTGCTATCCATGGCTTGGGTTACTTGCTTCTCTCAAGAGAAAGCTTTCCAATTTAACATGTGTCACAAGTTTGACCTTCTTCACCCATCCCATCCATCCAAGCCATTATTCTGATGTATGTGAATATCTGTGCACACAAAAACAACCATGTTATTAAAAATATATTATTCAAAGAACAAGGACAATTACAAGGACCTTACAACCTGCTTTATTTTTTAAATCCCTATGTGTTTATAGTTTTCAAAAAAGTAATTTTTTCATCCATTGTATTTTTTTCTTTTTGGGAAAACATTTTACATATTGGTACACATTTATGCACCAGCCCTTATTCTATCTTACACCTGTCATACAAAATATTTATTTTGTCTCCCCCTTAGATGAATGTATTTTTACCACAGCAGAACTTACAAAGTTGCAAGGGCCCAAAAAATTCAAAGACAGCATTTGCTTTCTAAATTTTTAAAATTTCTTAAAATTTTATATTTATTTTGACTTTTCATTTTGAAACAATTCGGTTTATAGGAATGTGTAAAGAAATATGAAAGTCCCAAGCACCCTTCACTCAGTCTCCTTTAACAAACAGCTTGTGTAACTATAGTACAATGTCTCAATCAAGGAAATAATATTGATAGAATCCATGGAGCTATTCACATTCCCCCAGTTACATATGAATGTGTGTATTTATAGCTCTAAGCAATTTTAAAGCACATACAACTTTGTGTAATCACCACCTATCAAGATAGATAATAGTATCATAACCACAGGTACTATTGGCCCCTTATGCTACCACTTTATAACTATACCCACACCCTCTCTCCCCGTCCATAGCCCAGAGCAACCAACATATTTTCCATATGTATAATTATGTTACATACATAAATGGTATCATGCAATAGGCACCCTACTGAGATTGGCATTATTCTCCCTAAACATCATTACCTTCACTTTCATCTAAGATGTTGTCCATATCAATAGTTAATTCCTTTTTTATTTTTCAATTACAGTTGATTTTCAATACCATTCTGTATTAGTTTCAGATGTACAGCATAGTAGTTAGAAAATCATCTGCTTTATAGTGTTCCTCCCAATGTTTCAAGTACCCACCTGACCCCATAAACAGTTATAATATAATTGACTATATCCCCAATGCTGTAATCTACATATGTCTGACTATTCTGAAACAGCCAATTTGTAATTTTTATTTATTTTTTAAATGTATTTTATTGATTTTTTACAGAGAGGAAGGGAGAGGAGAGAGATATAGAGCTAGAAACACCGATGAGAGAAAGACATCAACCAGCTGCCTCCTGCACACCCCACACCAGGGTTGTGCCCGCAACGAATGTACATGCCCTTGACCGGAATCGAACCTGCGACCTTCCAGTCCGCAGACCAATGCTCTATCCACTGAGCCAAACCAGTTTTGGCACCAATTTGTAATTTTTAATCCTTCATATTTTTCACCCAGTCATCCAAGCCCCCTCCCATCTGATAACTGTCCATCTGTTATCTGTATAAGTCTGTTTCTATTTTGTTTGTTTGTTTGTTTTGTTTTTTGGATTCCACCTATAAGTGAAATCATGGTATTTGTCTTTCTCTGCCTGAAGAATTTCACTTAGCTAAGAGTTTTTATCATGAATGCATGCTGGACTTTATTGAATGCTTTTTCTAAATCTATTCATATGATCATGTGATATTTATTTTTCATTTCACTTACCATGTTCCAGGCTGTTCCAAGTAGCTTCTGTATAAAATTTTATTCAATCATCTCAATTATATGTGTTAATTCTGTGTTTCTTTGACAGGGAAGCTAATGCACAGAGATATATATTAACTTAATGAATATCAGAGCTTAATTCGAACATAGAATTTTGGCCACTAGAGTCTTCTCTTTTAACTACAATCCTTAGGAGTTCAAAGCAGGTAGGGGAAAGAGGTGCTTGCCTACTGGGATGGTAGGATCTGTCTGGCAAAGTGGAATCTGAATAAGATCTGGGATGGTAAGTAGAATTTAGATAAGTGTGTAAAAAGAAAGAAAGTATTCCAGTTATAGGAAAGCATGGGCAAAGGCAGAGTATGAAGGAGGCCAAGAAGTATTGGACAGATTAGAGAATAAGCAGGTTGATCCATAGTGGGGAAATGAGGTCTACATTTTGGAAAAGACTTACCATTTTCTTCCCAATGGGAAATGATACAACATTTTTTATATAGCCTATTTCAGAGTTTGCTGCTCTTACCCAGGAGATAAAAGTCTTAAGCCACAAAAGAATAAGTGGTAGTAGTGAAGGCATTTTCTACTTGAAAGAAGAACCATATACCTTTAAATGGCATGGCAACCATGTCAGTGGTACACTTTGTTACAGATGTGTGGGCTCCTCAGAGATGACTCCTTTTCTCCCATTCCCTGAACACACTGAAGCTCATTCAAGAATGGCACCCTAACTGGTTTTGCTCAGTGGATAAAGTGTCAGCCTGTGGAGTGAAAGGTCCCAGGTTCAATTCTAGTCAAGGGCATGTACCTTGGTTGCAGGCACATCCTCTATGGGAGGTGTGCAGGAGGCAGCTGATCGATGTTTCTCATCAATGTTTCTAACTCTTTATCCTTTTCCCTTTCTCTCTGTAAAAAATTAATAAAATATATTTTAAAAAGAATGGCATGTAGGAAGCTATAGCATTTCCTCAACTTGAAAAATTCTACATATCATTGAATTATGTTGTAGGAAAAAGGAAAAAAAGGTTATTTATTTTGATTCCTAAAGTCTCATGTACAATAAAAATAAAGTTCTTAATAAAATATTTTTATGTAAAAGAATCTCATTAAATACCTATTAAGAGTATTGTTAAACTGGTAGGAAAACTAGAGCTCTTGTCCCCAGATCATAACCCAGAGCCTGAGATACAAAGGTCCCTGGGCCCTAAGCAGTCTGTGCAACAAGGAAGGCCCCTTTAGGGGAGCGCCCTGGGGCTTTAACTCTCACTAAGGGATTTCAGGGATTGTTAGGTGATAGAGAAAAATGAGAGGAAGGTCCTTTGTAGCATAGGGGCTCAAGATGAGGAAGAAAGTTATGTAAAAAGAGAAACTCAGTGTCCCAGGGTCCAGAGAAAGGAGTTGCTTCTTAGTCTTCCACTCCTACTGCAACCACTCTGGTATGCCTAGAGACCTTTCATTTCTTTTTTTACATATGAAGAATGTGAGTGGTAATGAAAAGAAGAAACAAGACTAGGGCCACAGGTGATTCTTTCTGTGACAGAGAACATGGCACCCAAAGCTTTAAGTTAATCTATATGTGGTTGCCCAAAATAGTAAAAAAATTATATATATATATATATATATATATATATATATATATATATATATTAGAACCATAGAGAGTTTAAAGATCATCTAATTCAACTCTCTTTCCTCAAATTCATCCTACATTTGAATAAATTGAAGCACACACCACGAATCTGCCAAAGTTACACATCTCTGTAAAACTTCTTGGGCCTTGAGTAAGTGTTAGCAGTAGACAAATGCCACATTGTAAATATTACTAATGGCTTTCACATTCAGATAAAAAAAAAATTGCCTGCTAGAAGGGGCCACAGTTTCTATTTCCTGAGTTTCCTCATTTGCTTATCACAAGTCACCATAGTTCAAGTAGACTTGTGTTGACCAAAGGGAAAAACTTGATATTTTCAAATGAAGCTTCATTCTTTCCACATGTCTGCCAACATCTAGTGTCCCTCTGTCTAAAATATGCCCTTCTATCTTTTAAAATCATCAGATCTAGGCTAAGTGTGTTTCTTTTTCTCTCTGAACAGCCTGAATACTGTCATCAAGAACCAGGAGTCCCTTCAGAGTGAAACTGAGATGGAGCTTATGAAATACCATTCAGCCTTTGAGTTTGAAGAGGAAGACCAGATTAAAGAGATGTCCCTTCTATCACTGGATTCTACCATCGAATGCCACAGTCCACCACCCGACTATAACTCCGTGGTCCACTACAGCACTGTACCTATATAACCTACTACCAGTGCCCTTTTCCATCCCTTTCAAACTACTCCTTTTTTACCTCAGTAATCACTAATTATTTTCACATTTATATCATGGTAACAGAATTACTAACTTGAGACTGGAGAATGAAAAGAGAATACCTTGGCTGAGAATCTTGATTCTTCACAACTTTTGGGGGCACAGCTGGTCCAAGCAAGATCCTCAGAACTGACAGAGAGAAAACACAATGTTTAGTGCCGTTTCTCTTCCTATTAAATACCAATGACCCTACTTGGGTGTGTAAAGCCCTACAACAGCACCTTCAGGAGTTCTATATGCACCCCCTCCCTTCAAATTAGCCCAGTATATTTTCATGAGGGCTAATAATCTCTGTTGAATCATCAAAGGCCTTTAAAGCCTCCAATCAAGAACTGTAACCCTATAATATTCAGATCTTGGCAATTAGTCTCCAAACAGAACTTGGTGGACTTTTACCTGGGTGTCTTTAAAAAACTAAAGCAGTCAAATTTGCTACGGTTTGCCAGTAGAAGGGAGTTGGCAGCGATTTACATGCAATGCCACCCATGAGGGATCCTTTGGTTTCAAGCAATATGTAGAAGCTCCAGTGGGAGTTGGTCATGCTCACTATATTTAGGACATTCTCCCTATGAACTACCAGTTTTATCACCTTTGTGTTGTTCCCATGCCAGAAAACATCCAATCACACTTAGGTTGATTTCAAGAATACCATGACTTTAATACTTAAGCTCCAAGATCCACATGTCATATACACAGCAACACATAAGGTGTGTCTGCATGGACTCAGAGAAAATCAGTGAAGGAAGGGTTTGTGCATACTGCCCTTCCAGATTGGCTTATACTTCTCTGCTTCTAGAAAGTCCATGTCATTACCTCTCTGTCTAAGGAGGGAAGTGTAATCCCCTTCCTGAGGGTCAGGGGTGACTATGATAAATACTGGTTCTGTCTTTAATCTTATCTTTCTAAAACACCTATTCAGTTGAATCACATCTGAGGAAGCAGTGTGTCCCACCTCTACCATAAGACAGGATCATGAGGTCACACCAGGATAACAATGTGCTCATCCCTATATTATATAGTGAGACTATCCATTGACTTTAGAGATAGTGAGTTTCTCCTGATTCATTCCCATAGCACTAGGGAAAAATGGGAGTAATCAGCACTCTACAAAAATGAGGACCTAAAAGATACTCTGGTTCCTTCCTACTCTCCATTTTGTATATGAAAAAAATTAAGGCTTGAATGCATGTTATCTAACTACTAACCCAATGTTTTTTCCATTATTTAGACCATGTAGCCACGTGTATAAAAACATAAACATTTGCTAATGTAAATGATGATGCCACTGAAAGAGATCTCAAGAGTAGTTTTTTCTTTTTTTTTTTTTTTTTGGCTAGCATGCACACAGAAAAGACACCTTTCCTCATGGGATCATTGGCCTGGGTTTCTGCTCCAATAGCTCCCATATCTTCTATAGTGGCCCAAATTATCCCAGAACTGCTCAAATCTAAATTTCACTTGTGTCTCAAGAGCATTAGTGATATAAAAGGAAGCAAGAGTCAAGATGCTCTGTTTCCTCTCCATTTAAGAAGTCTGTAAACTTGGTTAGTTGGCTCAGTTGGTTAGAGCATTGTCCCGATATGCCAAGATTGTGGGTTCATACAAGAATCAACCAATGATACATAAATAAGTGGAACAACAAACCTCTCTCTCAAATCAAGCAATCAATCTCTTTTTTAAAATAGTTTATAAACAGTCCCAGAGACACAAGGCCTTTAACCCTAGAAAAAAATCCAAATTGGTGATTTAATAAAAAAGAAGTAAATGCAAACCCTTTTACCTATCCCATGCCTTAGCCTATTGACAATACCAGAAACATTTGCAGCTTTGCTCAGAAAAAATTGTGCCATATGTGTGATCAAAAAAAGGATAGGGAGATTACCACTAGCCTCCAACTACTACTATGGTGGTTCTCTTCCTCCAGCTTTTATCCAGGAAATTCATGTTTTTCAGCTGTACTCCTAGGGAATGGTCTGAATCAGTTTTGCTACTGGCCTAGGCAGGCAGACTCTATGAGTTGAATGGAGTAAGCTACCAATGGTAGGTTATGGTGAAGGGCCAAACCCAGTTTCTCACTCTTTCCTATCTCTGGTAAACATATACGCACCCAATACAGGAGCAACAAAGTACATTAAAAAAAAAAAAAAAAAACCTGGCAGTTACCAAGGGAAAGATTGACAGCAATACAATCATAGTATGAGATTTTAATATCCCGCTATTACCATTGGACAAATCCTCTAAACAAACAAACAAAAAAAAATCAGCAAGGAAACATCAATCTTAAATGACTTACTAGTGCAGATGGAATTAAGTGACATTTTCAGAACATTACACCCCAAAGCCACAGAATATACATTCTTCTCAAGTGCACATGGGTCATTTTCAAAGATAGACCATATATTGGGTCATAGGCAAAGTCTCTTCAAATTCAAGAAGATAAAAATCATATCAAGCATCATCTCAGATCACAGTGGCATAAAACTGGAAATCAATTACAATAAAAACAATAAAAAAAGAAACATATGGAGACTAAACAGCATGCTATTAAAAAATGACTAGGGTACCAGAGAGATCAAGGAAGAAATAAAAAAAAAAATCATGGCAACAAATGACAATGAATACACAGCAATCCAAAATCTATGGAACACAGCAAAAACAGTCTTGGGAGGGAAGTTCATAGCTATACCAACCTACTGCAAAAACAAGAAACAATGGTAATAAATTACCTAACCCTACAACTCAAAGAGTTAGAAAGAAAGCAACAATAAAAAATGGCAAATGTAAGTAGAATGAAATAATTAATAAAGATCAGAGTGGAGATAAATGACATAGAGAACAAAAAGACAATACAAAAGATCTACAAAATCAAGAGCTGGTTCTTTTAAAGGATAAACAAGATTGATGAACCTCTAGCCAGGCTCACCAAGAAGCAAAGAGAGAAGACCCATAAAATCAAAATCAGAAATGAAAGAGGTGAAATAACAACAGACCCCACCAAAATACAAACATCATTAAAAAGTATTATAAACAACACTATTTCAACAAACTGGACAACCTGGAGGAAATGGACATATTCTTAGAAAAAATATAACCTTTGAAAACTCAATCAGGAAGAATATAAATAGCTCCATAGGCCAATAACTATGGAAGAAATGGAATCAGTCATCAAAAAGCTTCCTGCAAACAAAAGCCCTGGGCCAGACGGCTTCATAGTGGAGATTTATCATACATTCAAGGAAGAACTAAAACCTATCCTTTTCAGACTATTCCAAAATATGCTAGAGGAAGGAATACATCCATGGTAATTATATGAAGCTAGCATCAACCTAATACACAAAACCAGATAAAGACAGCACAATGAAAGAAAATTACAGGCCAATATCCTTCATGAACATAGAAGCCAAAATCCTCAAAAAATCCTAGCAAATCAGATTCAGCAGTACATCAGAAAGATCATACACCAGGACCAAGTAAGATTTATCCCAGGAATGCAAGGATGGTACAATATCCACAAATCAATAAACATGATACATCATATAAACAAACTGAGGGAGAAAAATCACATAGTCATATCAATTGATGCAGAAAAAGCATTTGACAAAATCTAACACCCTTTCTTAATAAAAACTCTCAGCAAGGTGGGAATATAAAGATAATACCTCAACATAATAAAAGCCATATATGACAAATCCACAGTCAACATCATACTCAATGGGCAAAAACTAAAATCATTTCCCCTAAGAACAAGTAAAAGACAGGGATGCCCACACTCACCACTCCTGTTCGACATAGTACTGGAAGTATTAGCCATTGCAATTAGACAAGAAGAAGAAATAAAAGGCATCAAAATTGGAAAAGAAGAATTAAAACTGTCATTATTCACAAATTACATGATATTGTACATAAAAAAACTAAAGACTTCATAAAAAAACTATTATACTTTATAAATGAATTCAGCAATATAGCAGGATACAAAATTAACAACAAGAAATCTATGGCATTTCTATACACCAATTGTGAACTTGCAGAAAGAGAGACTAAAAAAGCAATCCCATTTACCATTGCACCAAAAAAAAAAAAAAATTAATATACCTAGGAATAAACTTAACTAAGGATGTAAAAGACCTACATGCGGAAAACTATAGAACACTGAAAAAAGAAATAGAGGAAGACGTAAACAGATGGAAAAACATACCATGTTCATGGATTGGTAGAATCTACATCATTAAAATGTCCATATTACCCAAAGCAATCTATAGATACAATGCACTCCCCATTAAAATACCAATGGCATATTTCACAGACTTAGAAAGAACTCTCCAAAATTCACCTGGAAAAAAAAAAAAAAAAAGACGCCGAATAGCCACAGCAATCCTGAGAAAGAAGAATAAAGTAGGTGGGATCTCAATACTAGATTTCAAGCTGTATTACAAAGCCACTATTCCCAAAAGAACCTGGTACTGCCACAAGAACAGACATATCGACCAATTGAATAGAACAGAGAATCCAGATATTGACCCAAACCACTATGCTCAATTAATATTTGATAAAGGTGGTGTGAACATACAATGAAGTCAAGACAGTCTCTTCCATAAATGGTGTTGGGAAAATTGGACAGATACACGCAAAAAATTGAAAATAGACCACCAGCTTACACCATACACAAAAGTAAACTCAAAATGGATACAAGACTTAAACATAAGATGGGAAACCATAAAAATACTAGAGGAATACATAGGCAGCAAAATCTGAGACATATGCCTAAAGAACTTCTTCACTGATACTGTTCCCAGGACAATGGAAGCTAAAGAGAAAATAAACAAATGGGACTACATCAAAATAAAAACTTTTGCAAAGCAAAAGAAACCATCAACAAAATAACAAGAAAGCCCACTGTGTGGGAGAACATATTTGCAAATGTTATCACTAATGAAGCTTTAATCTCTAACATCTACAGGAAACTTATACAACTTAATAAAAGGAAGATAAACGATCCAATAAAAAAATGAGCAATGGACCTAAATATAATATTTTTGAAAGAAGACAAAAGGAAGGCCAGGAGACACATGAAAACATGCTCAAAATCATTAGCTCTCCGAGAGATGCAAGTAAAAATGACAATGTAGTACTATCTCACACCTGTCAGAATGGCTATCATCAACAAATCAACAAACTACAAGTGTTGGCGAGGATGCGGAGAAAAAGAAATGCTCATGCACTGCTGGTGAGAATGCAGACTGGTATAGCCATTTTAAAGAACAGTATGGAGTTTTCTCAAAAAACGAAAAATGGAACTCCCATTTGATCCAGTAATCCCACTCCTAATGCACCCCTTTGTTCATATTAATACAATTTACAATAGTTAGGATTTGGAAACAGCCTAGGTGCTCGTCAGCAAATGATTGGATCAGAAAACCATGATACATCTACACAATGGAATACTATGCTGCCATAAAAAGAAGAAATTCTTACCATTTGTAGCAACCTGGTTGGAACTGGAGAGCATTATGCTAAGTGAAATAAGCCAGCCAATGATAAAAAATACCACATGATCTCACTCATTTGTGGGTAATAAAGATCATTATAAACTGATGAACAAAAAGATAGATACAGAGGCAGTAAAGCATCAGACTGTCAAATTACAGAGGGAAGTTTAGGGAGAGGTGGGGGAGATAAGAGATCAACTGAAGGACTTGTATGCATGCATATATGTATAGCCAATGGACGTGAGGCACTGGGGGGTGAGGGCATGTATGGGAGTGGGGTGAGGGCAATGGGAAGATATGTACACATGTAATACCTTAATTTAAAAAATGGGGGGAAAGAGGATTCAGCTTTGGCAGTACACGCTTGCATTGTTTCTTCTTTATAAAAAGCTTTTTCTCAAAGCAGGAACTGACCAGAATTTTTAAGAGGATTTCATATAGCTACAAAGACAATATAAACATTCTCAGACAGTTCTACTAGTAAGGACCCCTCAGAAGTGGTCTCAGGCACTATAATTTGCTAAGAAATGACCAAATTCCTCTCCATAAGATTTCCTAATAAGATTCTTAGACAAACAAACAATAGTAACACTTTAAACTGTTAAATAGTTATTTTGAAGCTCCAGATTTTAAATTGACATAATTCATACTTTATTTTGTTTGTTAATCAAATTCCAGAATAGGTGTTCTTAAGGTAAGAGCCTTGGCCAATTACTTAAGACAATGGCTTCCACTCCTTTACTACTGCTCTCAATTGCTGAAGACCTCTTTTGTTTCTGTTTCCCATTCTCTATTTGGACTTCAT